TCAATGTTGGTGAGACAGACATTAAGAAAATCTATGAAGAACAAGAAAGTAGTGCAGTTGAGTTATTGAAAGACATCATGGATGTTTTAATGAATGAGAACATCAAGAAATATGTAAGCAATAAAGCAATTAAAAGAATTACACAAATGGCACAGAAGATTCGTAACAACATTGTGGAGTGTATCAATGAAAATATGAGAATGGAAGAAGAGAAGAATCAAGAAACAACAACACCACCAGAAATGACAAATATTCCAATCAGTGAAGGAAACAAAACAGAAGAGCAAGAGAGTCCTAAAGAAACAGAAGAAGAGAGAGTGAATAGGGAATTTGGAGAGAAGATGAGAAGTCTTGAAATTGAGTTAGACAAAATCAAAAGAAAATACATTGCATTCAAAAAGGTTTTTGAAGAACATGGGGAAGACGTAGAATATTTGATGAAACAAGAAAAGGCAGTGAAAGAATGTGAAAACATGATTAAGAATGGGATTGAAGTGAATGAGATGAATATGAAAGTGTTAATGGATTTGGATGGGTTTGTTGGATTAAATGAGGAGAATCGTAAGAAAAGAAAGGATTTAGTAATTAAAATACAGGAAGAATTGGATGAGATTGAAGGAATGGTCAAGAAGTTAAGAGTCACAAAGATGAAAGTCGAGAAGAGAGTAGAAGAGATTGAAAAACAAAAACAAACAATGGAAGAAGAAAAAAGGAAAGAAGAAGAGGAGAAAAGAAAAGAGGAAGAAGAGAAAAAGAAAGCAGAGGAAGAGAAAGAAAAGGCAATTGAAGAATTAAAGAAAAAGAAAGAAGAAGAAATGAAAAGAAAAAGTGGAATAGGAAAACAACAAAACCAACGATATGTTAGACCAAAGAAAACACAAAGTGAAAAAGAAGAAGAAAGTAAGGAAGAAGAAGAAAAAGCAATAGAACTAGAGAAGAAAAGTAATTCAGAAAGAATTAGAGAAATGATTGATTGGAGTAAAATGAAAATGAATGTTAAATTCCAAGTTAGTGATAGAGGAAATAATGTCATTGTTTATGGTACAATAGCAGGATTAAAGGATGAAGACATTGATGTTAATATCACAAAGAATGGATATTTGAAAGTTAGTGGAGTTAAAAAACCAAATGACAATGAAATGAATATGATTATAAGAACTATCAAACAACGAATGGGCAATATAAGTGATGAAGATATTGCAAAGATTGCAATGAAATATTGTAATGGAAGATTTGGAACATTTAGTCAATTATATGAAATTCCAGAAGATATTGATATTAAGAATATTACAGTCAATTATGATGAAGGAATTCTTCAAGTAAATTTACCAAGAAAACAACAAACAAGAAGAAGCATGTATCCAAGATTTGGTATGAATGATACAAT